TGGATGGATTGATGGAAGATGGATGGATGAATGGATAGAGGATGGAAGAAGGACGGATGGAGAATAGATGACAAATGGGTGGAGAATGGATGGAAGGAGGATAGGTGGATGGAAGATGGATGGATGGATGAAAGATGGATGGGTGGATGGACGGACAGAGGATGGATGGAGAGATGAACAGATGAAAGATGGAGGATGGATGGATGGATTGATGGAAGATGGATGGAAGGTGGATGGGTGATGGCTGGATGGAGGATGGATGGAGGATGGATGGATGGATGGACGGATGGATGGACATATGGAGGAGGATGGACAGACACAAGGGAGATGGGGGGTTGGATGGAGGATTGAGGATGGATGAAGGATGGATTGAGGACACATGGAGAATGGATGGATGGATGGATGGATGGAATAGAATGGACAGACAGATGGAGAATGGATGGAGAAGGGATAGAGGACAAGGAGGCTGGGTGAAGGACAGACATGCAGGATGGATGGAGGGATGGAGGATGGAAGGATAGAGGCTGGAGAAGGGATGGATGGAGGACAGATGGATGATGGATGGATGATAGATGGAAGATGGATGGATGGATGGATGGATGGATGGATGGAGTGTGGATAGACAGTGGATGGTGGATGCATGGACAGAAGATGGCAGCAGGACACAAGGCTGCAGGGATGGTGGGCTGGGCCAGCCTGGCCGGGCTGCTGGGGCGCAGACAGATTGTGGGCTGCCCTGACGGCCGTGGGCAGGACTTCCTGTCGGACATGGCCATGACGGAGGTGGATCGCTTCATGGACCGGGAGCACCTGATCTTCCGGGAAAACACCCTCGCCACGAAAGCCATAGAGGAGTACCTGAAACTCATCGGCCAGAAATACCTCAAGGATGCCATTGGTGAGCTCCACCAGCACTGAGGGGTCCCCAGCATGGCCAGGGGTCCCCGTCACGGCCAGGGCCCCATCAACACGGCTGTGGGACAGTGGGTGGTCCCCATGCACGGTCGTGTCCCCATTGACATGGCTGTGGGATGGTGGGTGGTCCCCACACATCGCCGTGGCCTCATTGGTATGGCGGTGGGATGGTTGGGTGGCCCCTTCTCATGGCCGTGTCCCCATTAGGGTACAACTGGGTGGTCCTCAGTCCCTGCTCATAGGCAGGTCATCATGGGCATGGTGGTGGGACAGCTGGGTAGTCACTTCTCGTGGCCATGGGACAGTTAGGTGGTCCCCTCTCATGGCTGTGGCCCCATTGTTATGGTCAAGGGATGGTGGGGTCGTCCCTTCTGATGACCACGTCCCTGTTGGCATGGTCAGGGGACAGCTGGGTAGTCCCTTCTCATGGCCATTGAGGTGGTCTGGCTATGGGACAGTTGGGTGGTCCCCAGCCCTTGTTCATTTCCAGGTCCCCATTAACGTGGTCATGAGATGGTTGGGTGTTCCCTTCTCATGGCCGTGACCCCATCGGGCTGGCCTGGCCGTGGGACAGTGGGGTGGTCCCCGGTCCTCCCTGATGTCCCTGTCCCCACACAGGCGAGTTCATCCGGGCGCTGTACGAGTCGGAGGAGAACTGCGAGGTCGACCCCATGAAGTGCTCAGCCTCCACCTTGGCTGACCACCAGGCCAACCTCCGCATGTGCTGCGAGCTCGCCCTCTGCAAGGTGGTCAACTCGCACTGGTGAGTCCTCGGGGCTGCGGACATCCCCCGCTGTCCCCACCGCTGGTCCCTGACCGCGTGTGTCCCCCTTTCCCCGACCCAGCGTGTTCCCACGGGAGCTGAAGGAGGTCTTCGCCTCGTGGCGTCTGCGATGCGCCGAGCGGGGCCGCGAGGACATCGCCGACCGGTTGATCAGCGCCTCGCTCTTCCTGCGGTTCCTCTGCCCCGCCGTGATGTCCCCCAGCCTCTTCGGCCTCATGCAGGAGTACCCCGATGAGCAGACCGCCCGCACCCTCACCCTCATCGCCAAGGTCATCCAGAACCTGGCCAACTTCACCAAGTGAGCGCCCAGCACGGAGGAAGGGGAGCGGTGGTGGTGGATGATGGTGGTCAGGTGTAGGGATGGTGGAGGACTCAGGCGGGCGGGGAGGAAAATGGAGAGATGGTGGAGGGAAGGTGGATCTGGAGGTCTATGGGTGGATGGACGGGTGGATTCATGGGTGGATGGAAGATAGTTGGAGGGGTGAGTTGATAGATGGACAGAAGATGGATAGAGGGACAGAAAATGGATGGATGAATTGATGGGTAGAAGATGGATAGATGGACAGAAAATGGATGGATGGATGGATGAGTTGGATGGGCAGAAGATGGATAGAGGGACAGAAGGTGGATGGATGAGTTGACAGCTGAGTTGGAAGGAAGATGGACAGATGGAGATAACATGGATGGGTGACTTGATAGATGATGGGTGTAAGATGGACAGATGAGTTGATGGATGATGGCCAGAGGGTGGGTGGATGAGCTGATGGATGGACAGAAGATAGAAAATGGATGGATGAGATTGCAGATGGATGGAAGATGGATAGATGGGTGGAAGATGGAGGGATGAGCTGATGGATGGACAGAAGATGGATAGCTAGAAAATGGATGGATGAGTTGATGGCTGAATGGATGAGCTGATGGATAGATGAGTATAGAAGACGAACAAATGAACAGAAGATGGATGAGATGATGGATGATGAGTGGAAGACGGTTGTTTGGGTGGGGGCGGATGAAGGGAAGAAGGATGAACAGAAGATGGCTAGATGGATGGAAGGTGGGGGATGAGTCGACGGGTGGATGGATGAGTCGGGTGGCGAGAATATGGACAGATGAGTTGGATGGATGAGTTTGGTGGGCAGAAGAATGGATGGAAGGAAGGAAGGAAGGAAG